TGACATGGAATTGTCAACTGACACCTTCTACCACCAACGAAATGAACGCCAAAATTGTCGTCTACTTTCTCCGATTTCCACCAAACAATTAATTCAAATTTCCTAAAATCACTACATAACAAACAAATGCACTAATTACTAACTAAAAAAAATTATAATAGCATTTCAATAATATAATTACAAAAATAAATGTCTCTTACCTAGCCATCTTTGCAGCAACCAGCAGAGCTCCTCCCTCTCGTTTTCGTAGAAATTTTTGGGGTGGTGATACTGAAAGGAGGAGAATGGAGGAGACAATATATATGCTGGAGTGGGTAAAACACAGGCCGAATCCGCATGAGACTAATGCGGGTCCGCTAAGTCCATGCGTTTCCGCACCAGTCCCACGCCAGCCGCACCAGTCCCACGCGGGTCCGCCCAAGTCCATTTCGGATCCGCATTTCAAACTAGTAAAATTGAGTCTCCTGCGAGCCCGCATCTCTTTCCCCACAAAAACATAATATCTGTGTAAATATATTTAACACCACCATATTGGTGGTAAATAAAAAAAATAAAACAATATTTTGGGAATTTTCCCTAATGTTGGGTCCAGTTGGGTTTTACCCATGGATTTGGGTTAAAAAACCCAAACCCAAATAATTAAACGAAAAGGAAAAAAAAATCGCCCACGGTCATCTCTTCCTATCACTCTCGATCTTGAGACGTCAGACCGCCAGTTTTCCCTTCGACCCTTCTCACTTCTCAGATAGATCAGATTCCGGGGAGCAACCATCGTTGGCTTCTTCAATACCACCGACGGCTTCGCGACTCGCCAGACGCCAGCTCCTCCTATCCCTCTCGATCGGTCGGATTCCGAAGAACAAGAGGGTCTGGGCATCTGGTCGCTTTGCCTCGTCGCCCATCCCCTCAACACCGCTGGCGGTTTCGTGATTCGCCGGTTCTTCCTCTCCCTCCCGATCTCGGGGCACCTGCTTTCTCTTTTGTCAGTCGGTGGGATTCCAGAGAACAAGAGGGTCTGGTCGCCTACCCTCACAAGATCGCCAACAGCTTCGCGAATCACCTGCTCGTTCTCTCCCTTTCAATCTCGAGACCACGAGAAGCCCACTCCGCCTGGCTCCAGGTATTGTTCATCTTACCCTATGCTTTTGAACTGGGTCTTATGAACTCTATTCAGAGGATTTATTCAGGGGATAGGGTTTCTGAATGAGTCTTAGTTGTGAATTGGGTATGGACTGTGATTGGTTTTTAGCTTGAATGAAAGTTTAATGTTAATGGAAAATGTGATTTGCAACGTTTGCTGCTTGTTTGGTTGCTGAACGTGTCCAACATCTGTTTTGCTTGGTTTTGCTTGGAAACACTCATTTTGATTCTGTTTATACCTTTCCTTTTCAACTAGTTTTCCATCACATTCCCCTGTCCTTTTGTCTTCTAGTAGTCCTGTTTTCTGGGTTGCAAAACCCAGGTCCTATTTGTATGATAATCTAATCTAATGATATGGTAGATAGAAAGGCTACATCGTTAAACTCAACTTACTTATTAGACCTACGAGTCGTCCATGAATGACAGAGACATTGAGGTCAAACTTAGTTAGGATATTGTTGAGCATGGTTGTGGTTGATCGATATGCAAATATAAAGGTTGGTAGGGTTCTTAATTAATTTTTTCCTAGGCAGAGCTTGTTTCCAGGCTGCAGATTGGCGCAGTTGACATCAGGGTTCACACCTTATGAGTTTATGTTTCCTGCTTGTGAACCCAGGTCCTATTTGTTAATAGATGGGATGCAATATTGTATTGAGAAAGGTGTACTATTCTCTAGATTTATGTTTCCTGCTTGTGAACTTAGTTTATTCAATTTTACTACTGCTTTGACAGTTTGCTGCTTGTGAACTTAGTTTAATTCTTATTTGGTTGAATAATTGTGTTGTTGCAGCTAGTTTGAATGATTGTTTGTTGCTTGCTTGATTTTTCTAGGGAAACATGGCTTCAGAAGTTAATGATGATAGTCTATCTATGAATCATGAGAGTAGTAATCATGGACAGCCTAGTGTGTCTTCTAGTCGTATGGTATGGTCTTCTGAGAAGAAGTGGTCTGATGTGTGGAAGGATTATGATCGAGTTGTAATTAGTGGGTTGAGAAAAGCTGAATGCAAATACTGCCATAGAAAGCTTGTTGCTGAATCCAACTCTGGAACTTCTCATTTGCGCAATCATTTGTTTAAATGTCCAGTAAAAAATGATGATCCAGTCATGGTGGGTGGACTTTTGGGTAGTAAGGAAAGGAAAATTGGTACTGGAAGTTCGAGTCCGGTTGTTTTTTACCAAGAAACTAGTAGAAGGGAGCTTGCTTATATGATTGTTCTTCATGGATTTTCTCTATCGGTTGTCGATTATATTGGGCTTAGGAGGTTTGTGTATTCTCTTCAACCGTTGTTTCAAATGGTTTGTAGAAATACAATCAAGAGTGATATTTTAAAGATATTCAAAAAGGCAAAGATGAATGTAATGCATGAGTTAGAAAAAGTCAGCAGTAGGGTGGCGATTACCACTGATATGTGGACTTCGAATAACAGGAAAAGAGGATTCATGGTAGTAACTGGTCACTTTATTGATGATGCTTGGGTCCTTCAGAGTAAGATTTTGAGTTTTATCCACGTTCCTTCTCCACATACCAAGGATGTTCTATGTGCTGTATTATTGAGTTCTATGACAGAATGGAACATTGAGAGAAAAATTTCAACAGTGACCGTGGATAATTGCAGTACTAATGGTCCTATGATTAGTGCTCTTTTAGGAAAATTGCAAGAAGATACGTTGTTGCTAAATGGTTCTATATTTCATATGCGATGTGCTGCTCACATTCTCAACCTAATCGTGCAAGATGGGTTGTCTGTTATTGAGGAATGCGTTGGGAGAATTCATGATAGTTTTGTGTATTAGACTTCATCTGTTAAGAGAAGACAAAAGTTCAATGATGTGTTAGGCAGACTTACAAATATTGATTGTTCGAGAGAGTTGGTGCTTGATTGTAAGACTCGTTGGAACTCTACGTATCTTATGCTATCAATTGCTTTGATATATAAGGATGTCTTTGATCGTTTGATTGTTAGAGATTCAGATTATGTATGTTTTCCAAGTGAAGAGGAATGGGATATGGCATCTGAATTATGTGTGAAGCTAGAGTTGTTTCATGAAGCTACAAAGACATTTTCAGGAACTACTTACCCCACGGCTAATACATTTTTCCCTAAGGTCCGTGAGATTAAAATAGCTCTAAACGAGTGGCAGTTGAGTCCAAATGTAACTATTGCAACCATGGCTGAAGATATGTTGGATAAATTCAATAGGTATTGGGAGGTTATCCATGGAACTTTGGCTGTTGCAGCTATATTGGATCCTAGGTTCAAGATGAAGGTATTAGAGTGGGCCTTTCCCAAGATTTATGTTGGCACATCTATCTTTCATTTTAATAGGATTCGAGACTTCTGTTATGATCTTATGAGTGAGTACAAGACTACAGAACCTAGTATGGATTCTTCTTCTTCTTCATCGCCACATCAACACGCAAGTTCTGGGTTTCTTGCCAGCTTTGATTCTTATGTTGGTAATACTAGATCTAATAGGAATGTTAAAGAAGAGTTTGACAAATACTTGCGAGATGGTGTGATCCCAAGAAGCGAAGAGTTCGACATTTTATCTTGGTGGAAGAACCATGGCCTACAATATCCAACCTTAAGGCTGATTGCTAAGGACATTCTGGCCATTCCAGTGTCAACAGTTGTCTCGGAATCTGCATTTAGCACAAGTGGAAGATTATTGAACCCTCATCGTAGCCGCCTTGATGACACGACTGTGGAGGCTCTTATGTGCATCAGAACTGGCTTAGGAATGAACTTCATGGTAAGAAATAACTTGTTGTTGCTGTTATTATTTACCTTCTGTGTATGTTGTGGTTGAGTGCATACACTGCTTTCTGTGGAGGCTTGGAATGAATGGACTTGGGGTTTGCCTGAAATGAACTGGAATACAAAGGGCAAGGTTTCACCTTGGCTCTTGTGTTTAAATTGATTAAGGACATTGGTGATCAACTTTTCTTTTTCTCCTAGTGGAATATAGGAATGGATGATGAATACAATCTGAGTAGGAGGGATAGTTTGGCAAACTCAAAGTTTGGTTTCCGGATGCTTGTATTGTGTTCACTTTTCCCCTTCCTTGGTTTCCATCAGTTGTCTTATGTTCACTTGTTAACTTACCTCTTGACTATTTGACAGTAGCAGACTAGCAGGTTGATATATATTGTGGATAGTGGACGTTTTGTCACTTTCCATATTTTTGACAGTAGCATACTAGCAGGTTAATTAATTCTCCCATATTTTCAGGACTTTCACTTGGAATTGAGTTTCCAATTTCCAGTTTTATAACTCATTATCTCTTGAATGGTGCATTATTTACTAGCTACTGGCTTTCTAATTGATGATTGAGTATGTTATTCATTATTTTGCAGGTGTAGCCATTTTCTCTCCTGATGTTGATGGTTCGACTCAAACCATATTCTGTGAGAATGATGGCGGTGATGATGAACAGTCATGGAATATGAGGACTAAGAAAGAATCTGGGAGTTTATTTGATTTGATTATGTAGTGAAGTTATGTTCAAAACTCAAAACAAAGTATCTCATTTCTGTTGTTGAGTTCCTCTATAATACTCTGTCTTTCGGTAGTGTGTGTTCCTCTGTAATACTCTTCCCTTTCCTTATAAACCAGCTTTGAAAGAGTTGTAAGCACAGTGTTGGATTACTTAGATAACCATTTTATTGATAGATTCCTTGCCACTGACTGAATGCCAATTCTTTATCAGGTTTGTGGATGTCATCCTTGTAAATTTCAGAATTGAATGAATTAGTAATTTCAGAATTACTGGGACTCCATTAAGCTGATTCTTGTCAAGGGGCAGGGGAAATTTCGGAATTAGTGTGCCAGAAGAGGAACTCTCATTCAGTCGCATTAACAAACACTTGCAGTATCAAATTGACAACCATTCCCATTCTCAACTCGACCAATAATTATTTTTGCCAAACCCTTTGCAGGCTTTGTGAAACTACCTCTCCTGGTAACACTTCCACCTCCTGATCTCTGCATCCCCATTAAAGAGAAAGGAACTTTCAGATGCGAGATTCAAATACCATAAGTGGGATCTCAAAAATCAGGGGAATTTCCTCTCTTTACCTGGGAATTACTGCTGCTGCTCTTCTTTGCTACATAGGAAGTGGTGGTCTTCATGTAATTTGGCGATGAAGTTGTTGCTGCATCATCAGAAACGGTGGACTGTTGTTTCTGCTTTGCTCTTCTGGAATCGATCGATTCAAATTCCATTATGCTGCTGGGAGTTCTTGATGAAGAATAAGCAGATGATTGCTCTGAGGTGACAGAATCGACATCAAAAGATGTGACTGAGGATTCAGAATCTGTGGCATTCCCAGGCTCGAGCTTCTCTGGATCCATTTTGTTTTCTTGAATCACGAGAACTTGGGATTTGAGGAAGGCAAGGAGATTGCTCCGCCGGGGGAGATCCAAATCGGGGAGTTTCGGGTCCAGAACATCATATGACCGGCCGGAGGACGACTCGGTGTTGATGATGACGTCGGGCCGATCCTAGCTAGATCCCAGATCGATGACCGGCCGGAGGACGACGACCGCGACGATTCTGATTCTTCCTCCATCATCAACACCGAGTCCTCCGATAGCAACCCCGCTGGAGCCTCGCCGCCGGGTGAAATCCCCACCGCCCACCAGCTTTTCCCGGAGAGCACCGGCGTCCGGCGGCATCATCTTCGCCTGTCAGTCGGAAGCGAAGGCATCGACGTCCGACACCATCGAAACAGCCGACGAAGAGCTGGAACATGATGGTCGCTGACTCGCTGTAGCAGAAGTTACATTTTAGTACCTGAAGTTTTTAAGAAGATACAAATAGGTCCAGCATCATGTGTGGAAAATTACATTTTAATACATTAAAAATTTCGTTTTACATTTTAACATCTAATAAAAAAACATATACAGGCAGGTTCAAGGAGATGGGTACCCAAGCCCAATCCATACCAAAAAATAAAATCCAAACCCAACTCCACCTGTCCAAATATTATCCAAATCCATATAGAATAAATCCATACCCAACCCATATAAATGGATATAATTGGGTTTGGGCAAAAATACTCATGGGTGGATAAATTGACATCCCGCGGAGATTAGTTACGCAACAAAAACACAGCAACAAATAGAATCACTATAATCAAACCACCATAAAAAACAGCTACAAATATATCCCGATACAACAAAATATTATTATGATACAATGATCAAACCCAGCTTACAATGATCAAACCCAGCAAGCTGGGCTACAATAAATAAGATTTTAAGCGAGAAGACACTACACCTAAAACATCACCATTGTTGTTGCCACTCGATCCGAATAATATTCGAAAGCCATATTATAAAACAAATCTGGAAAAAAAGTACCGGAATCAGAATGGAAACCATTGGAAATCTGAACACAAAGCAAATGTATCGAAACCATGGACGATCAAAGTGAATACGCAAAGAAAAATCCACCTACAATCAGACCAAGATAACCGCCAGAGAGGGAAGCCGAAGCAAATTAGCGAAGAAACAATCGGATGCAGGATACTAACGAATCGCCCGCGAGATGATGAGCAACGCCAGAGTAATTAAGACAGATGGTGGAGTGAAAAGGTCGATCATGGCGGTGACAGAGAAGATGCATGAGAGGTAGAAGAAAAATGAATAAAAGGAAAATAGAGGAAAGGACGGGTTGGGAGTTGGGAATTGGCAATCTTTGGATCCACAAGTCATGTCCACCCCTGAAATCACGCTCTTATATCACCATTAAATTTTACAATACCCAAACAACCCCAACATACGAGAGCCGTCAGATTAAATGGAAAAGCAGTTAACGGGGATGTTAGGGGTTGGCACGGTGCTAACCTCTTATGGATTAGCACCTCATCTCATTCCACATAATAATCATAGTAATTCTTCCAACCAAATGCCTCGTAACAATAAACTACCTTATGAACATTAAAAGCCTTGTGATAGCAGGGGGAGCAAGCGGACGACTGAGTAATAGTGACTCGTGGTTGGCTAGTAGGGAAAACTAATGAATGTTGGTGGCAAGACTCGAAAAAATGACCTCATTAAAACAAAAGGAGGGGTTTTTACTAGAAAACAGGGAAAAACCGGTATCATTATTTCCAGAAAACAATCTTTATCGTTTCCACGCAGCTACGAAATTGGTTGCCCGTTGTTTTTCCAAATGAAAACAAAATGACAAACAAACGCGTTTTTTTGTCTGTGTTTCCTGATTTTTGTCGTGGCAAGAAAACACATGAAACGGAATGACAAGTGAACGGGCATAAATTTAAATTTAAGTACATTTAGTTCCTGAGCTGACACAAAGTTAGATAGTCCTACAGCTTCCTCATAATGGAGTTCACCTACCATATAGTGCTGTTCAAAGTGCTGGCCAGATTGCCTATTTATAATTTATGAAAACTTAGCGGTATAAAGGATAATTAACTCTAACATTTAGTTAAAGAGAATGATGAGGAAAAAAGACTAACCGGTCTAGAAGAGGATGGAGGCCACGGCAATGAATGTTAAAATACATCTTGGTAGCACGGGAAGCAGAGAAAGTTTAAGAGGTTCATATAATGAGAAACTTGGATCATATGGAAACGAAACACATTTTCTAGCACCCAAGCATATTGGTTGTGTGCTATGTTGACAACTCAAAGTGGTTGTTTTTGAAAGTTAGACAGAGAGAACAAATTTGAAGGCAGGTGATGTGTTGATCAGAACAAACAAAATTCAATTAAAACTGCATAATAAAGACTCGATTCACCATCATTTTATTCTCATTTTGTGGCCTCGAGTTGCCTAAGTTCAAAATGGTAAAACCTATGGACTATAGAGAGGGTTAAAAAGAACCTTTACGATTAATGAACAAAGTAAGAATTAAGTGTACCTTGTTGGTGGTGCGTATATAGAGAAGATAAGATCACCACCTGAACTAACACTCGAGAATCATCAGCAAGATATTCAAATGCAGCAATCATTGAGTCTCATATGAATACATGTGCTGCCTCTCTCCTAGTACAAAAACAAATGTAATTAGTTGGCTTGATCATGCGTGGCTCGGACCACAGGAAAAGAAATGGAAAAATGATATTGTATGATATTGTTGATGTAACTTTAATTGGACTATCAACCGTTACGACTGAAATAGTCGGGGTCTGTAATCGTTATTTGGGTTCGGGTGCAACACCCCCGACCCACGGTGTACGGGCTCAATGTTATTTGGGTTCGGGTTCTGGGCCTGGTCTGTAATCATTTCCTTTAACATATTGGATTAGTTTTAGACCCACATGAAGAAGTATAAATACTTATCATCTCCTCTGTAATCTGTAATCTGTAATCTCCTCGATATAGTGAAACTGGCTCTCCTGCCCGTGGACTAGCTAACACACATTGTGTTAGTGAACCACGTAAATCGTGTGTCGTGTGCTTTCCTTTTTCGTTTTCGTGCTTTGTCGATTTCAGCGATTTCCCGATCCATAGCAGTGCAGTTATAACATATACTTAGTCAACCAATGCAGAATGAGGTGCTTGTTCTGAAGGTGCAACCTTGGATAGAGAACTTGGGAGGGTTCATAGCTGATTATATCCCGACCAAATCTCAAACCAAATAAGAAGTAACTTAATTGCTTTGGCAGTTCATGAATGAATGTAAGTTTGATATGAGTTGAGAATGACCTGGAAGCACTTCCTGATTCGCGTGATTCGCGGGATCGGATGAGTCGCCAACTCTCTAAAGGATTACCACCGTACTAACTTCATTAACATCTATTAGATCAAAATAATAAGTCTACAATAATAAGTCTACTGTTAAAATTAATTCAAGGATATTATAATAATATAATTTGAAACCCTAATATAAAAAGAACTCTACTCACTTCTCTCCACCTTCACGGCCACCCCTACTCCCCCTTTTTCCCTCCCCACTCTCTCTCTCTCCTCAAAATGAACAACCTCTCTGTCCATCCTCTCTCTATCACCGACGGGTTCAACTTCCACTTCTTCAACTTCTTGTTCACTAGCACCGGGACCCAATTGTTGTCCCTTTGCTTCACTCCTCCTTGCCTCTGCTAGCTCTCTCTCCCCCTTGCTAGGAGCCGGAGAGTTCGGTTTATGTCCTCGTCAAGTGGTAGCAAAGGTGCCGTTTTACTCCGGGTCATGCACTACCTACACACAATCAGAAACCCACACCAAGTGTAGCACAAGCAAAGCACACACACTTTCAAAACTGGAAATTAAAAGCTAGATTAACGTCAAAAAACTTTTTCAAGATAACAAACCGTTGTTCCCTGTCAACAACGCCAAAAACTTGACTCGTCCCGAATACCACAATTAATTCCCGCCTAAGGTCCAAGTATAAACCTTAGTCGGGTGCAGTACAAGGCAAGTATGTTTAAATATCGACTCGGGCCGGTCCGTATACCCCTACTTCAGTCATTTGATTCATTATCTAGCGACTCGGTTTTGGTTGAAAAGTTTGCTAATTAAAGTAAAGCAAGGTAAAAGTAAATGGTTTTGAAAGCTCTTTTGTGAGAAGGATCACTCGGGTGTCGCTTCCCCCTAACTACTACTATAGGTGTCAAAACATAGCCCTACCCGATTAACTCCCCCGATCAACCCGACCGCAACCCGAATTGATTAAAAGTCAACAACCCGTAACCCGCCCGACCCGCAACCTGATTGACCCGCAACTCAACTAACCCTCAACCCGACTGACCCGCAACTCGATTAACCCGAACCTGATTGACCCGCAATCCAACTGACCCGCAACCCGATTGACCCGAACTTCACCTAATCCACTTGAATAATTATTATAATATACAATACATAGTTTTTCAAAATAAAGTTTCATTCTAAACTTAAGTAAAATTATTTTTGCATTTCGTATAGGGAATTTAAAAAATATGAACTCACTTGATATTATGTATTTTAAGAAAATTACAAAATGGGCTAATACCACTACAACACCCGAACTATCCGGAAAATGCCACTTGTGTCCTATTGTTTCCAATATTCCATCTGTGTCCTGAACTATAATACTTTATGTCATTTGTATCCTGACAATTTCGTTGACCGTTAAAGATAACGGTTGACCAAACGGTGGTCAACTTAACATTGACTTTTACTAACGTGGCAATGCCAAGTCATTGACACCTCAAATTTTTTATTTAAATGAAATAACAACTAAACATAAAAAAATTAAAAAACCGAAAATCTCAGATCGATCACCCTCTTCCCTTATACCCATCCATTTCCCTCAGATCCATCCGCCGTTGAGAATAGCGACAGTCTCACATCGCCGGAGAGGAGATGGCTGCCCGAAGCTGCGGTTCTGGATTCCTCTTGCCACAGCAACGACGCAAGCTCCACCAAGAAATGGGAGTGATGAAGGTGGAGGGAAGGTGGTTGGCGACAGTGTGCAAGGGATTGGAGAGGCAACGAGCCACCGCAGAGGATAGATAGATTTGAAAATGAATCGCCGACCTATGGAGATGAATTTTTCGGCGGGGAAAGATAGATCTGAAAATGAATCGACTACCTATGGAGATGTGACGCGGATCTGGAGATGGGAAGACTCGTCGCCTGATTTCCCCTCTCTCCCGCTTACTTTCTCTCTCTCTCGCTTGCTTTCTCCCTCTCTCTCTCCAGCCCCTTCTTCTTTGCTTCGAAGATCCCGTCTCCACCGCCTCCACAACGGAAGGCGCACCCATCTCCCGCGCCCGGCTTGAAGAAATCGCGAGGATCTCTGCAAACATCGCCTGGGGT